GGAGGATAAAGAAGAAGCATGCCTTTTTGGTTTACGTCTGCTTCGGGGGGTGAATGTGAGCAGGGCGAACTACATTAACCAACAACCGACCTACGAGCTAAGCTCGAAGCGCAGCCGATTCAAACTCGGCTCCACCGAACCTGCCCCTGACGGGGAAGGAGGGGGAGGGAGGAGGAAGAGGAAGGGGAGTCCCTGACTCTTACACTGCCCTTATACTCTGAAACCTGCGCACGATCTTCCACGACCGCCCCCATTCTATCTACCCTCAAAACGAACACGGAGACGCCTCCTACATGCCAACCTGCAGGGGTTTGGCTTTTCTTGCACAAGCAGGGCGGTGGCAGGATAAACTAGGCAGTGGCCCGCGCCACTGGCATTGTGTGCCAACCCCTCCATTCCGCTCGGAGTGGAGCCTCCTAGCGCGTGGGACTGCTAGCCATACTTTGTCCTGCCCCTGCAGGAGAGGCCTTCCACCCCCCCAAACCATTCTTGCCCCCTGCCGCCCCATCACCACACCTCCCCCCACCCGTCACAGGGCGGGCGCGCCTGCCTGGCGCCGGGCATGTAAAGTGAAGAGGTGGAGGAGGGAGGGCCAACCTAGGAGGGGGGGAGGGCTGTACGCAGGAAGAGGAGGACCACGCCGATGACCAGTCGTGCGACAGAGGGACAGGAGCACGGGCCACCAGTGGACCCGAAGGCCCACGACATTATACGAGCTTCCGTCCCGTCTTGGGGTGCTTGCCAGCACGGATCGCAACACTTTTACAATGGTCTCTTGCTCTGTCAGGCTTGTCCTCAGCTGGACCCTTCCAGCCCAAGTCGAAGCTACATGTGGCAGCCTGGGCAGGCTCTTGATAGGAACCGTAGAAGGTGCACGCCATGGCACCTCGTTGGGTCACCCAAACTTGGCGCCCACGGAGCTCGGCGAGAGCATCCGACGGCGGAACCGACGATTCGCAGAGAGCAAGGATCCCATCGAGTCGGCCGAACGAACTTCTACCACATCAGCCCGGTGTAGGGCCGTGCGCACTGCATCAGACTGCATGCTGGGAACCTCTTGTCGGCCGTGGTCCTAGCAGCCACGAAACGCTGCTGAGGGGTCGGGGTGCAGGGCTTGGCAAGCAACTCGCGAGCATGACTTGCACTGCAGGAGCTTCGCCCCCTGGGCCCTACGCACCAGATTGTGCTGAAGAAGGTCCAACTTAGAGGCCGTGAAAGGAAGGGGGCCTATAGGAACGGGCAGGGCGGTCAGACCCACCATCACGATAAACAATCTTCGCCGCCGCCCATCCGAGGAATCTCGCTTGCAACTTTGCCTCCGACATGTGGAACTCCTAATTACTGAAGGTAGTTTCTGGACAGTCATGCTCCATCGCCCCCCTCCTCGCAAACCAGTCCGCCCAACCACTGCCGAGGTAGAACTCAGACGGATGAGGGGCATCGGTCGCCTTATCCAGTGACGTGTGCGCTGGAATCCAGCAAAACTGACGAGGTCGTGCGTCGCCAACATTCGCGAACATTTCTCTCCAGATGTCGGCGCATGTAGCCTGTGCGTTAGTCTGGTCTTGGTGCCGCGCGCTTTCCCTGTGCAGAGAGATCAAATCGGTGACCGCGAGCGTCGCCATCGGTGAGAGCCTTAGCGCCTGAAGAAGAGCCGTGCGCTCGGCATGTCCTACACTCTGGGTCGGGGCTTGGAGAGCTCCCCAAGCGCCTCGTACAGGCATGCCATTGTTTCCAATCTGGCAGAACCCCAGCCACGCCTGCCTAGCTCGGGCCAGCTCGGGGCCATTCAAAACCCATCCATGAACGCTATGGTCTCCCAGGACTCCCTGCGCGAGCTCCCGTCTCCCCGGGGAACCATGGGCATCTTCATGGGCGCCATTGGAAGAGGCTGGGGAGACAGCGACATGCCCATGCACATAGAGGACTGGTCCCAGTCGTTGGCCCTGGGCCCCGCGATGCCCTTGCCCTTGAGATGCCGACGCGCGTGGTCCAACTTGGGGCCCCAAATGAGGTCCTCATCCAGGGTATCTTCATAGAGCCCAGGGCAGTCGAGCATTTGATGGCCCAGGGTGTCCGGTTTGCCGTTCTTTCTACACGAGGGACGAGCAGGCGAGATAGGAAAATCTGCAGCCAGCATGCGAGTTCTCGTCCACGGACTTCCAGCCCATAAGCCCCCAAGGCACCGGCAAACCAAGCTCGGGCAGCAGCCTTCGCTTCGCCGAGACACCTCTTGAGCGCTCGCATCCAAATGAGCTCTCCACGTCGAGAAACATCATGGTGCCGGGCAAGGTTCTTCCGAGCCTGCCACCTCTGGACCCCGTCTTTGACTAGCTGAAGTACAGACTTCATCATGCCAATCACGTACTTGTTATCGTCACATCCTGTAGCGCGATATAGCATGCCCCAGCCTGTCCTATCTAGCGCAAGTCACAACGTGGATATCGGCCCCCGAGCACCATTCCAGGAAGCTTGCGACTAGCTGCTGATTGGCCGAATCCCAAGCCCGTTGCAGACGCCCCAAGGAAACTCTCTGACCCCAGGCAAAACTTGCATGCGCCATGACAGGCTCCAACGTGGCATGAAACAAAAACGGAACATTCATATGATCCTTCTGCGTGGCTAAACACTAGCGTCGGCGAGGAGGCCGTGGAACTCCAGCCGCAGACCACGCCAGCAGCGCGACGTAACTTCAAAAGCTCCTGCCCTCAAGCTCCAGATGCAGAAGCGCCATGTGCAGCAGCAGGGGGAAGCCCTGTCCTCCAGAGCGCCGTCGCCGCCGCTCCAGCATTCTTGCGCACCATAAGTGCACGCGGCGTCCTAGCTGAAAGCCTGCTGATTCTCTTGGCCGCCTGATTCCTGATTGGCTTGCTACCCGAAAGCTCTTGCCCAAAATTTCGCATCCATTTCTTGGCCGTGAGACGTAGAATCAATTGACTTCCAAGCTGATCTGGAACCAAAAACAGACCCAGAATTCCCAGGTTGCACAACCAGCCCAAGTCGCCGCACGTCATCTCTAAACTCGTTGAACGCTTCCGAAGGCACCGAAAACTCACTCAACGCACTGCCCGCCCATTGAACTGCACTGTCACCACCCAAAGCCCTAGGCGTACATGGTGACTGCCTCTGCTGCATCCTGGCGATGGCGCGGAGCGTCAATGCATTCCGAAGCGTTGTCGCATGAGCGCGGCCCGCAAGGATGCCCTGCGTAGCCGTCGTGGGCAAACCCCAGCAGCCATAGGCCATGATGACCCCTGGCTGCGCGTAGGATTTAAGCAACATCCATAACGGCCTTCACATGGAACTGCGAACATACATCTTCACGCATTGAAGCTGGGAAGAGCACCATCTCGGAGCGCTTCCACGTGTCCAATGCAATGCTGAGAGTGTTCCCCTAGGTCCATGCGCAACTTCAGCTGGCAGATTATGCTCATGCGCAGCAAGCGAAGACGCCCCCCCCCCCCCCCCGACGATTTCCCCAGACATGACAGCTACCATGGCTTCGAACCCCGCTCCTGGGGATTTGCCGACTGATCTTGGACCAGAGCCGGCCAAGGCCATCGATCAAGATAATGGGCCGAGTCCCCCCATCTAGTATTACGATCCGAGCCATCTCATGAACGACCCGATCTCCTGGCCACATAAGCAGCGGTTCGCCTTGCATGAATAATTCTGCCACTGTCTGCAGCCCTGTATCAGGTATATGGCCACGAGCTCGCGAGTGAATCCTGGTCGGCCCCGTGGCCGTCATCCATGGAACAGTCTCGACGTCTTCACGCGCGCACTGCGCGTGCATGAAAGGCACAGAAGCCCATGTCGTGTGATCATGCTGTACTTGCGTGCGCTGCGTGTCATGACATGTGCATGCGCTTCTCCATTTCCACATCTCATCAACAGCCACCTGATAAGGTTGCATGCGCTGCGTGTCCATGATGTTGGCTCGCAGCGCCTGCAGCCTAGTTTAACGATGTGACTTACCAGCACCCCGCTGCCGTTCGCTACCCTTGTCGAGCTCAGCACGATAACCGCCCGCCTGATCGATAATTGCATGCGTACCACTATCAAGCTCCAGTCTGCGAGGGGCCTGCAAGCCAGACAAGAAACGCCTTATCGCCTGCGGGGGGGCAATCAACTTCTCCATGGGCTCGGACTGATTGATTCGCCTGATCTCGGGCACCATGCGGTTCTTGGTGGAGTCGTGGCGTCGGGTAAGCTGCCGGCCACCTCCATCATGCGTAGCGCGAACGCACGTCCAGTCCAAGGCAAACGGGAGTCGGGCAGGTACATATGCGTATCATTTGGGTATCGCATGACAGACTTATGCCCCTTGATCAGATTCGCCCAAAATGCTCTCACTCTCATCATGTGCCTTGCCCACTTAGACGCTGTCGCCCAAGCGCGACCAACTTGCGATATTTGTGGTCGCGCCCTAGGTGCCGCCCACTTCGCCTGCGCATAACGGGCCCACCACGACCGAGCCCCAGCAATATCAAGCCGACCAAGCCACTCTCCTTCCAACATCGCGACCGTGAGATCCCACGCGTGCGCGAGCTCCGAACTGTCCCGAGCTTTCGGACTCATCAGCAATGCGCGCTCCCAGGACAGGGGCGACCGCGAGCATCCAACGCTCGGTCTCTTGGGAAGAGCTGCGGGCTCGCAAGGCGCGCGCAACCGCGCCGGTGGATCGCCGTCTAAGATGGTGAGGTGAACGGGTTCATGCACTGGAATGTGGCCGCTCTCGTTGACCTCAGGGGGCTGCAACTTGGTAGCTGTCCTATCGGACACCGCAAAGTAATCGCACATTGCCCTCAGAGCCGTTGGCGGTGGCGCGCGCGACGCTCGCGGGCGCCAGGAGACAAGAATAATAACAACAACAAAAACTTCGCGCGTGCTCCAGCCGCGCCTGCGCAACAAAGGTCGTAGCTGGCATGTTCCAGTCACCTCCGACAACCCACGGCGCGCCCATATCTGTGGGCCGACCTGCGAAGCGCGCGAGGGCATGCGGCCGCGCCTGATTCCTCGTTCAATCCCACGCTCGCTGTCCTGGAAGTACCCAGGGAAATTCACCGCCCCACCTTCGCAGCCCAAACCAACCTTCGCAGCAGCGCCTGCCAGGATGTGAAATTGGAGGCTCGAGACCTGGCGGTGCAGTCATGGTGATCTTCGTGGGCGCAACCGCCGCCGCCCCTGCCGACGCGCCTCCTGGCTCAGTACGTGACGATGGTACACGTACACCAGGATAACCTCGATCCCGCATCGAAGATGCAAGCGGTGCTAAGCCAGCGTCGCTGGCGCGAAGCCTCTGAGCCAACGCCGCCGCCGACCTCGCCTGATCCATATATCTCTGCAAAAACCCTGCACTATCAACGTTGACCGACGTGGCGTAGCCCTTGACCTGCGTATGTCTGGGTGCAGCGCGCACGCCGCTCCCTCGTCCTGGCCTGTGCTTTTCGTAGCCCGTGTCGTGCAACGCATATGGAGGAAAAGGAGGCGCCGCTGTGACCGACGCCTCCATGTGTAGTGTTCCCGGCGCCGGCGCCTGAGAGCTGCCCCAATCGACCTTGGCGCTCACCGTCATTTCAATAGACGGCAACATCAAAGGAAGAAACGCCACTACCATCTTAATCTGCCTAGAACGCGTTGGACCTGTCCACCCTCCCGCGCGCGTAGCAGCTCTATGGCTGCCTCGCGAATCGCCTGATGTCCTGCTGGCAACGGTGCGCCAGCAGCCCCCAATCATGACCTTGAGCTCGCCAATCCCCGTCTCGGAAACGCGCTGGCGTGAGGGCCGAGGAACAGGAGTCTGAGGAGCAGGCAAAGGGGAAGCTGGAACAACGACAGGGCGAGCAGCTTCATCTCCATCATCATGCTCCACATCAGGTGCTCCAGCTGCCGCGCAAATCGTTCCAAACACTTGCACCTGCGCGTTATTGGTAATGGTGGGGAGCGCTTGCGCCACTCCTTCCGCTATGGACATGGCCAGTTCACCAGCGCCCAAGCTGCGCACCATGTCCCCGAACGTGCTGGCATCAAGGCCAATCGCAGGAATGGGCACATGTGTTGCAGCCGGGTCAGCTTCTTGTCCGACTGGCGCAGTGTAGAACGCCTGGCCAACCTCAAAAGTTGCGCCCGCAACTCCACCAACTTTGTGCGCTTGTCTTAGATCGACTGCTCGGTCTTGGCCAGCTCAGCTTGGATCGCTGCCATGTTCTCTCGCTGCTGCTCAGCAAAACTTCTGCTGCTTGAGCATCTGCTTCTCAACATTATCGATATGCCGCGTGACTGCGAACATCTGAGCTGTTGCTGGCTTCCTGCGGGTGATCTGGCTGTGCAGCACACTTCTTTCATCAAGCAACAACCTGTGCAACACATTCCAAGCGTCAACCTTATATAGTTGGAAGCCATATCGCTCTGCCTGTCCAACTCAGCCACACGCGCACGCGCACGGCTTACATCGAATGGACCATCTGCATCATCACGCTTATCTGCTCCAGGTTCCCCTCCACCTCCATGCTTTCATCTTTCTGGGCCGACAGCGACGCAACCTGCCGCTCCAACTTGAAGATGGTGGCCTGGACCTGACGCAACTGTGCATATTCGGCCCATGGTGGATCTGAACTTCCTGCCTTGGACCCTGCCAGCGCCGACTTGCCACGAGAGTCTCGAGCATATGCGCTGGGCTCGGGCGGTTCCTTCTACTAGTAAAAGCAAGATCCCTTGGGCCTGCAGCACTCGAAACACTGAGCTCGATCAGGTTTGTTGAGAAAATGCTGCCCCGTCCTGTCATGTACGCAGTACCTGCAATACGAAGTGCGATCATTGACAGGCGGAGCCATGGCAAGCGGATTGCCGACGCGGCGGCCGTGCTGTCGCCTGCACTCGCCCCAGAGACTCGCGGTCACCCAGCCGTTATGAAGAATCGGTGACCGCACGCCCAGGCAACATGCCTGAGCCAAAACAGCTCGGAGGAGGAGGAGGAGGGGAGGAGGAGGAGGAGGAGGAAGAGGGATGGATGGAGGGAGAGAGGGAGAGAAGGAGGGAGTGCGGGAGAGAGGGAGGAGGAGGAGAAGGAGGAGGAGGAGGACGAGAGGAGGAGGACAATGACGAGGACGAGAGGAGGGAGGAGAGGAGGAGGAGGAGAGGAGGGAGGAGGAGGAGGAGGAGGAGGGGGAGGAGGGAGGAGGGAGGGAGGAGGAGGAGGAGCAGGGCCGCCCACTCTCTTTCTTCCCCACCACCACCACCCCGCAGCCTGCGGGTCTGCCAGGGGCATCGGCTGCTGCTCGTCCTCCTCGTCTGGCAGGGGGCTGCCGAAGAGGTCCTCCGTCGGCGCGTCCTCCTGGGGCGAGAAGTGAAGGGGCCACCTTCCTCTCGAGTTGGACGAAATCCCAGATTTTCGACGATGTGATTTGTTCAATCTGGACGACTTCTCTTGATTCTGGCCCTCTGGTGCCGTTTTCGGGCCCCGGGGACATCAACAACGGATCCGGGATTGCAGAACTGTCCCGTGGGGAAGGGGTCGGAACCTCTGGGCGGATGTTCGGGGACACGCAAGAGGGACCATTCGCTGGAGCGACCTCTCGCTTCCTCTCTGGGGATAGCCAGCGGGGGTTATCGATTAGGGGTCCCGGAACGTTGCCACTCGTACTCTGCCTGGATGGAAGGACGCAAGTATTTTGTCAAATCGGCATGCCAATTTTACCACATCAGGCCCCCGTGGAGGAGAACGTTTGTGGATCACCATGCGCACCAGTACGGGTCAGGCTCCCCGTCAATTATTCTAGCATCCCACGCCTTCTGGCGCACCCTGCGGATGCAGAGTGGGATGGTTTATCTCCGTCTCTGGATACAAGTGGATTGCAAGGGCGTGGCAGACGTGTGCAATGACACCTCAGTTCTGAAGGCGCCACACCTGGAAGCAGTATTCCGACGGAGTGTCCAGTAATGGTTTGATTTCTTAACATCCGAATGGCATCCAAAACGCGACATTGACCAACTTCTTATTTGGAGCCCCAGGGAACTCAACAAGAGGCGGATCATTTGGTACATGCGGCGATGGACACAGGAACGGACTGGTCATGGATCAACCCAGAAGCACTCAGGGCAGCACGAAATGGCGATGTACGATTGTATGTCGATGGAGGCTTGCGCAACAGAAATCACGACGATCATCTGGGAAAATTAGGATGTGCAGATTTTTGCGTTCGCCGAACGGGTCCTACGAACCCTTTTTCTTTGCTGGGACGGTGTTGCGCGGAGTCACTCCGCGTTCCATGCTGAAGTTTCAGCATTAAAGCGTACCCCTACACAATGTCCAATCTTTCATTGAGTCACACAAGCAACCAGTGGCAGCAATGGTATCCGGCCGTAGGGGTCAGCACGAGAAGCCGTGCACGGCAGCCGTTCGAGAGGCACCGCGCGTAGGGAACACCATGGTGTGCCCTTACCGAAAAAAAACGGTGTGGCGACAGACGGTGCAATGACCTCGGGATCCCCCCTCCCGTTTTGCTTCCCGCCTGCCTGCCGGGAACCCCCGCCCAGCTCCCGCTTCCGCTGGGCGCCGCCCCGCCCATGGCTGTGGTGCGCGCGCCGGCCTTGGGCTCGGCTCGCTGGCCCTTTGCCCTCCCTCCCGCCGCTCCTGGCCTTTTGCTTGGCCTCCACGCGCCGCTCAGCGGCAGCCCGGCGCCTGAGCTCCTCCTGGCCACCCGGCCTTGCCTGGCCTCGCTGCCCCGCCCCGCCGCCCCTCGCTGCCCGAGCCGCGGTCGCGCTCTGCCTCTGCCACGCCGCACCGGCGCAGGGCTACACGCCCAGCCCACCGCAGCTGTCACGCGCAGCCACCTCGGCGGCCCGCCGCTCTCCCAGTCCCCACTTGCTTTTGCACCGCCCTGCGCTGCAGCCCCTGCTGTTCTCCCGGGTGCGCCCGCGACACCGCCCCGCGCTCGCTGCCAGGGGCTGTCCTGTGGCTTGGCCGCCCCGCGCGCCCCCTCGCGGCCTCGCCGCGTGAGTGCGCCCGCCCTTCCCTCCTCCTGTCTCTGCGGCCGCCCCTCGGCTTTTCCCGCCCTCTTGCCTGCGGGTTGCCTGGATGCGCGGGCGGACCGCCTCTGCCGCGCTGCGACGCAAAAGTCTGCCCGCCGGTTCTGGCCAACCACGCTTCGGAGCGACACGCTCTCCACGCTCTGGCCCCAAGCGTCCACGTCCCGAGTCTGTCCGAACCTCCCGCCCCGCAGAGCGGAGCGGCACGCGATCACCTTGCAAGGCAGAGAGTGTGGCCAGGGCCACCGCCGCGACATGCTAAGCAGAAACTCCTGGCCGTAGGTGTCCGCTTCCCTCCCCTGAGCTCCAGCTTCTCGTCATCCTGCCCGCCTGCTCCTGCCACTCCTGCCCCATGCTCGTCCTGCTGATGCTCCTTCCTCCTTCACCTCGTCCTCGTCGTCGTCCTCGTCCTCGTTCTCGTCCTCGTCCTCGTCCTCGTCGTCGTCGTCGTCGTCGTCGTCGTCGTCGGCGGCGGCGGCGGCGTCGTCGTCGTCCTCGTCGTCGTCAACGCTGTCATCGTCTTGATCCTCCTCCTCCTCCTCCTCCTCCTTCTAATCCTGCTGCTGCTCGTGTTCGCCCCTATCGCCGTCGCCGCCTCTTCAAAAAGCGGGACACGGAACCGCCTCCACTGGAGGGCGCCCCGACCGCGACTTCGGAGCGAATTCAGCCGACGAGGAGGGAACGAGCGTCTCGGCCCCAGGCGGGCTTCCCTTGCTAGAGAGGCGCGCCTGGCGGCGCCGACAGCCGAGAGCCCTGCTCCTGCCGCTGCCGCTTCTGCTCCTGCTGTTCCGGACCCTGCTCCACCTCGTCCTCGTCGTCCTCCTCGCCGTTGCCGTCGCCGTCGCCGTCGCCGTCGCCGTCGCCGTCGCCGTCGTCGCTGCCGCCGCCGTCGTCGCTGTCGCCGCCGCCGCCGCCGTCGTCGCTGCCGCCGCCGCCGCCGCCGCCGCCGCCGCCGCCGCCGCCGCCGCCGTCGTCGTCGTCGTCGTCGTCGTCGTCGTCGTCGTCGTCGTCGTCGTCGTCGTCGTCGTCGTCGTCGTCGTCGTCGTCGTCGTCGTCGTCGTCCCCGTCGTCCTCCTCTGAGGGGGAACGTCAGGGAAGGATCGGCTCAGGGGCGGGGGGGAACATCGAGCTGGAATCGGCGATACAGTACATCGCCGATGCCTTGGCGAAAGGCCCCCGATAAGGAAGCCGTGCGTTCCTGAGCGGGACGAGCTGCGGTCATCGGCGATCGAGGGGCGAGTGGGCTTGGGGGTCGATGCGCCCCCCCCTGTCTGCCCTCCCCCCTGGAGTTGCCCCTGAAGTCTTCGGGTCGCAGGTCGTCTCACCTGCGACCGCTCGGGACGTCCTGGGCCCCCCGAGACCGCCCTCGGCGAGGCGCAGGCTGGTGAAGGCACCCCGCGGCCGCGCTCAAAACTGATGCAAACGCTCGAGAGCCTCGCACTCCGACTCCGAAAACCTCGAACCTCCCCCCCCCTCCCCCTTTTCCTGCCCTGCAGCGCGCATGGCGGCGCTTCTGGCCCGGAGCCCGCCGGCCCGCCGCCGAGGGGGGGATGGGGGGGGGACGGAGGGAAGGAGGGAGGGAGGGAGGGAGGGAGGGAGGGAGGAGGGAGGAGGAGGAGGAGGAGGGGAGAGGGGAGGAGGAGGAGGAGGAGGAGGAGGGAGGAGGGAGGTGGAGGGAGGGAGGGAGGGAGGGAGGAGGAGGAGGAGGAGGAGGAGGAGGAGGAGGCCCGGAGCCCGCCGGCGCGCGCCTCGTCGTCCTGCTGCGGCGACGGCACGTCGGCCGGGCTCTCCACGGTCTGCTGAGCCGTGGCCACTGGCGTCTCGACCTCTTGCGGGCGGCGCGCAGAGGGGGGAAAGGGGGGGATCCCCCTCCTCCTCCCTCTGTCCCTGCCCCCCCTGTCCTCCTCCTCCCCCTCCTCCCTCCTCCTCCTCCTCCGCCTCCTCCTCCTCCTCCTCACGGGCATCCTTATCCTCATCCTCATTATCCTCCTCCTCCTCCTCACCATCATCATCAGCATCATCAGCATCCTCGTCAGCAACATAATCAGCACCAGCATCATCAACATCACCATCACCATCATCACCACCACCATCCTCAGCATCACCACCATTATCATCATCAGCATCAGCATCGTCGTCATCGTCAGCATAATCAGCATAATCAACATCATCATCACCATCAGCATCGTTATCCTCATCCTCCTCATCCTTCGCATCCTCCTCCTCCCTATCATCGTCATCAACATCATCATCAACAGCATGGTTTTCATTATCATCATTATCGCCATCTTCATCATCCTCATAATCCTCATCATCCTTATCATCCTCCTCAACCTCCTCCTCAGCATCATTAGACTGATCACAGCCATCATCATCATCATCACCACAACCACCACCACCACCATCATCATCATTATCATCATCATCACCATCATCATTATCATCATCATCCTCGTCATCATCACCACCATCACCATTACCATCACATTCACCATCACCATCGCAATCATCATCATCACCATCCTTACCAGCATCATCATCATGGTCGTCAGCATCGTCATCGTTATCGTTATCGTTATCGTCATCGTCATCGTCATCGTCGTCATCGTCATCATCATCATCATCATCATCATCATCATCATCATCCTTTCCCTCATCCTTTTCCTCAACCTCCTCCTTCTCCTCCTCCTCCTCATCCATCTCCTCATCCCCCTCCTCCTCTTTCTGTTCTTCTTCCTCCTCCCCCGTGGAAATTTTAGCTCAAGTTCAAGCCGGGGGGAAGCTTGCCACAGCCGTGCGTTCGGCAAGTGGCATGCGCAAGATGTTCGACCCTGAAGAGATCGCAACGCTGTGCTGCAAGGATCAACGATGACTATGTGAGGAGGTGGCCGCGTGGGGCAACTCGCCACCTTCCTCGACTACATCGGCGTGTTCCTCGGGGCTGGCGGCCCGGCAAGTCCCTCTGCGGGGTTGGCCACTTCGTCGGGAAGTTATTCGAGTTTTGAGGTCACCCCTCTCTTCTCCTCTTCCTCCTCCTTCTTTTCCTCCTCCTCCTTCCGTTCTTGTAGAAAGGGCGCGGGGACGAGAACACGGTCATTACATGTGCGGGCCCTCTTCCCCGCCCTCCCCCCAAACATCCAGCAAACACGAAACGCACGAGGGCACCCTCCCCGAATCGACCTCGATCCTCTACGCCGGCCTGGCCGTATCACTGATACGCCGCCGTGTGGAACCCATCGACGGCCACTGTGGAGAGAACGCAGGTCACCCTTGCGGTAGAAGACCCTGAGCAGCTCTCACAAACGCGGGCCAGGGGGAGGGGCACAGACGGAGACACCCAGAACGACCCCAATATGGAATACCATAGCCCGCCGATGCCCCGATGCCCCGCGTGCCGGGGGTGGGAGCAATGCGTGTGCAATGCTCGGCTATCACGGGGGGCGCGAGATCCCCAACGCCCCTGCAGGGCCCTCGGAGCCTCAAGATCAGCCCTCCGTGGCCGCAGAGGTGCCCAACATGCCTTCCCAGAGAACTCCAGAAAAGGGCTGCAACATGCCAGAGCTGCCTCGTAACGCCCACGGTGGCCTCAGGACGGCCCAAGACGCTGGAGTGGGGGCCCCCGAGAGGACCCCCCCCCGAGGGCCTCGAGAGGTGCAATTGGTTGACCTCACAAGCCTGCAAGCTAACGGCGCGAGAGGCGCCCCCCTTGGGCCTCCGACGCCCCCCCCCCCTCCACCCCAAACAGAACAACTGCCCCCCCCCCCCCCAAGAGCCCCAACATGCCTCCAAGAAGCCCCAGAGGGCCCCCCCCCAAGAAGCCTCCAGAGGGTCCCTGAGAAACCCCCAGAGGGCTCCCCCCAAGAAGCCCCCAAACAAGAAACTGCCCCCAAGAAGCCCCCAGAGGGCCCCCCCAAACCCCCGGGAGTCCTGACAGCAAAACTCCAAGAGGCCCCCCCCCCGACGAACCTTAGCCCGTACAGCAACATCGCACAGCGTCCTCCCAAGAAGGACAAGGGCGACGACGAGGACGGCGTGTTGTCCTCTTCTGGAGGTCGGCGGAACGGCGTAAGCCTTTGACTATACGGTCATAAGATAATGTGCATCGTTGTGTGTGCGTGTGCTGATGTACGGCATGGTATAGTATAGTGCTCACCCTCTCAAGATGTATGCGGACAAGCGATAGTAACGTCTGCTCTAGTACGGCACAAGAATCATGCAGCACATGCTGCCGACTAGTGGTAACTAGCAGGTGTAGTCACTGGACCACGGGAAGCCACAGGATATCACAAAGGAATCAAGCGCCCGGCTGTCTCCAAATCCGGCGATCCCCGCAGTCGGTTTCTTCAAGACCTATGAAGGACCCTTCCAGAGAAGCTACCCAGAGCAAAGCACAATGTCTGCGACGAAAAAACGAATATTAAGACGCTGACGGGCTCCCAACGGCGGCGCGTCATTGATCAGAGTGAGGGCGCCGACCAATCTTGCACCATCCCTGGGTGCGTGGGTGAAATGGAATCCTGAAGCCCAACTTCTGCTGTTTTGTTGTTTGCTCTTGTCGTCGTCCCATCCCCCGACCCACCCTGCAACCCTCCCCGCGACCCACCCGGGACCTACCCGCGACGCACCCGCGACCCACGACCCACCCGCGAACCCGCGACCCACCCCACGACCCACTAGGCCGCGCCCGCCCTTTCATTCTCATCCGCAACTGCGTAGTGCTGCATCTCGTTCGTAGCTTCGGCGAAACATATCATTTTGTAGTCGGTTTCCGACTCGAAGACTTAGTCGGTGTCCCACTTGCTCTGGGCATCTTATTGAAAAAGGCTCCGTATGCAACGCGCTCACAGCACACGCGTGCGCTTTTTCTGATCAGGCGAAGAACAATTCGTCGGAGAGATGGGGCCGAACGGTCTTACCCTATCCCTGGGTGCGTGGGTGAAGCGGGATTCCGTGGCACTGCTTCTGCTTGTTAGTTTTGGTGCGCGCGCAAGGGGGTAGGGGGAGGGGGGAAGGCTTCACAAGCAAAGCCCTGCTTCTTAGAAGGCGCGGGCCTTATCTGTAGATGTAAGGCCCGCGGCTTCTAAGAAGCAGCCTCCCTCTAAGAAGTTTTCCCCCCTTCCCCTACCCCCCTTTGCGCGTGGCCGACAGATTTCGTGGCACGGATTCTGCTTGCTTGGTACTGCTTGTTGTCCTCGTCCCTTCTCTCGCCTTCTGCAATAGGCGGGGCGGCCCCACGCAGATCAGGACGCCCCCTCCCCCCGCCGCCGGCCCCCGGTGCTCCCGGGGCCCTTTGCCAGGAGGCTGCTGACAGGGCACCGGCGGCGGGGAGCACGCGAGCAGAAACGTCGCGGGGCCGAACTATCTGATGGGCAAATTTTCCACCACCACTACCATATCTAGGACTGGGGAGAAGGGAGGATGAGGAGGTCCTCTTCCTCCTCCTCCTGCTCCTCCTCCTACCTATGATAGTGGTGGTGGGAATGGACCCATCACTCTCCCCAGACACCCGGCGTCTCGAGGAAAAACCGAGAGTGATGCTCTGCATGCGTGGTTTTCGGCCTCTCGGGGCCTCTTCCGGACCTCGGGACCGTCCAACAACGAGCCAGGATGAAAATTACTGGCCCCGCGCAGGTGGTGGAGAGGTCGGGGGCCGCGTCTGGAACAAGATCGAGACGCTGGATGTCTGGGTCCCCGCGGGCGCCTCCGCCCCGCCTCGGGCCCAGAGGGGCCCCCTCTCGGGTCGATCCTGCGCGAGTGAATGCCGCGGACAGTGGGTGGGCTCGAGAGCTCCAGTCGAGACTCCTGCGGCGCTGTGAATTGACCATGCCGTCGGACCTTGGGGCCGGGGGGGGAGGTGCGGAAGCCACGCGCCGGATGCACATGCGGAGGGCTGGCGTGCCCAGCCGCACTAGGGCTGGACGGTGGTCCCGAGTTTCAGGGGGGAGGCGGCCAGAGTACACACGCACAGGGCCGAAGTGTTGATGATGATAAGTCTAAGGATGGTGATAGTGATGGTGATGGTGATGGTGGTGATGAGCATGATGATGATGAGGAGGATGCTGATACTGATGATTATGATGCGGAGGCTGACAATGATGCTGATAAGCATCATGATACACATAAGGATGGTGATGGTGATGGTGATGGTGGTGGTGATGGTGATGGTGATGGTGATGGTGATGGTGGTGATGATGACGATGATGACGATGATGATGATGGTGATGATGGTGGTGGTGATGACGACGAAGATGATGATGATAAATGGTGGTGATGATGTTGATGATGCTGCTGATGATGAGGATGAGGATGACGAGAGAAGCCTCTGCGGTCATTCGGGCGGCGCGTCACTTGGCCAGGTAATTCGTCATGTACTCGTAGCCGTTCCCCTCCTCCCCGTACTCGGTGACACACACGCAGCTGGCGCCGACCACCTTGCGCGGGAGACCGTCTTTGTCGATGCGACACAAGCCCGCCCACTCGCCGAGCGACTTGTTGTCTGGCACGTCGATCAGGGGCACGTTCTTCTCCAAGCAAAGCCCCTGCACCAACTTCTTGTACGTCGCCTCGTTGCAGGACTCCGCGAGGAAAACCACCTGCGCCTTGCCGGCATCAATGTGCTTCGCAACCTCGTGCAGGCCACGGATGACGCCGTCGACCACGAGGGCATTCTTGAGCACCTTGCGGACGGCCGTCATGAGGTCCGTAACCTCCTCCTCCTCCACCGGCGCTGCCGCAATGGTCTCTTCCTCGTCATCCCCCATGGCGATGCGTGCGTCTGGCGCGCGTGCGCGCGGGAGTGCGCCCTGCGGAGCTCCTCTCTTTGAGCCCGACTTTGAGCCAAAACGGCTGCGGAGCAGGAGAGGGAGGAGGAGATATGGGGGTGGGCAGGAGTGGGAGGAGAGGGGAGTATGGAGAGGTAGAGGCGAGGGAGGAGGGGGAGGAGCGGGGAGGGGTGAGTGGAAAGAACGAGAAGAGAGAGGGCGGCGTCAGGAACTCGGAGGGAATACTGTATTGATGCGAGAGCGGCAGTGAGGAACGGAAAGAGGAGGAAGATAAAGAGAAGGAGGCGGGGGAGGAGGAGGGATGAGACAAAAAAAGAGGTGAGGGGTGCCTCGAAGAAAACAAGAGGAGGAGGAGGAGGAGGAGGAGGAGGAGGCAAAGGCGGAAGATGAGAGGGTCGTCGCCGTCGTTGTCCTCCACCTCGTTCTTGTCGTTGGCTCGTCGTTGTCGTCGTCGTCGGAGCGGGGGGGGGGGGAAGAAGAAGGAGGAGGAGGAGTAGGAGGAGGAAGAAAAATAATAATAAGAAAAAGAAGAAGAAAGCGGAAGTAGTAGGAAGAAGGAGGGAGGACTACGACGACGAGGATCAGGAGAAAGGAGCAGGGCGGGCGGGGGACAGAAGGCGAGGCGCCTGCAGAAGCATGGAGGGAGGCACCTCCCCTGAAAGCCCAGGCTTCCCATGGGCCAGCCGAGCGGGGTGGCGAGGGCCTCGCTCTGAGGAGGGCGTGCCTGTCGTCAGCCTGGGACAGGAGGGCACCCCTCAAGAATGCGGGGCCCTCGGCCTGCCAAACCGAAGAACACTTGAGGGTGCCCTCTCCCAGGATGCGCGAGAGCAGCCAACAAACACCAGGAACATCAGGGTACCTACCCTCCCCGAACCGACCTCGATCTGATGCCTCGGTCCGACTGTAGTGCATGTTCGACTCGTCCGCAAGCGCGATCGTAAAACAAGCAAGTACCAAACGCTCACCAGAAGCGGAGAATGAACCTCACTCACTGCGTGCAGCTGAGGTGCTCTGGCAAGTAAACCTGCGACGAGAATGTAGAATGTTGAAACGAACAACGCATGTAGGAAACGACCTCCACTCCATCAATACGTCTGTTGTGTATGCTCAGTTAAATTAGAGAAAGCCAGAAGGCCCTGACGATCAACAAACAAGCGCTCTTCATCCGTGCGGCTGCACGTTTAAGACGAACGTGTACGGGGTTGAGAAAACAATCGCGTAGTGATTGATAACGGCGCACCCCCACGCCAACTGTTCAGACCAATGCGCACGGCACCAGTGCGAGACCCACAACGTCAAACGACGTGTCCCCCATGTGTGTAACGACTGGAAGCTTTTACGACGAATGCGCACGGCACAAAATTCGGGAACCACATCATGGGAAAGTCCCACACTCCGTGCCAGCTTCTCAGACGAACGCACACGACACGAATGCGAGACACACAACGTCAAAGAACATGTCCTCCATTCGATTTCAAGCCTGTGCGTCAAATGTGCACGCCACTAACACTAAAACCAAGTTCTAGGGACGACCAGCACTCCACCCGTTCCGCGGTTGTATGTTTGGACGCGATTGTGCGCGGCGCTAGGCGAGAACCATCTTGTGAAAACGACCCAGCCTCCATCCGTATGCGGCTGGTCACGCTTCAGGGTAGTAAGCTGTGAAGACGTCTAAGGCAACACGCCCA